ACAATTATAACAATATACTGTAATAAAAGTCATGTGACTATGGTCTCTGTCTCTCAAAATATCTCTCATTATGCTCTACTCACCCTTCTTTTTGTGATGATGTGACACGGTACCATGTCTATGTGATGGGCTGATGTGAGATGAATGAGGTAGGCACTGTGACATAGTGTCAGGCTACTGCTGACCTTCTGGTGGTATGTCAGAAGGAGAGTCATATGCTTCTGGACTGAGGCTGACTATGGGCAACTGAAATTGCAGAAAGTGAGACCACAGGTAAGAGGGGACCATTAGACCATAGCCCAGTGGGATCTAGACCTGAAATGCAAGGATGGTTCAAAATAGGAAAACCAATGTAATACACCACATGAACATAATGAAGGACAAATACCACATCCCTATCTTAATGGATGCAGAAAAAGCACTTGACAAAACTCAACATTCTTTCATGTTAAAAACTCTCAACAAATTAGAAATAGAAGGAAACTGTCTTAACATAATAAAAGTTCACAGCTTTTAAATTAAAAGCTCACAGCTAACATCCTATGCAACACTGAAAAACTAAAAGCTTTTCCTCTAAGATCAGGAACAAGGCAAGGAGATCCACTTGTGTCACTCCTGTTCTACACGGTACTAGAAATCCTAGCCAGCACAATTAGATAAGAAAGAGAAATGAAATCTACTGACATTAGAAAAGAGAAGCAAAGTTATCTCTGTTTGCAGATGGCATGACCTTACACGTAGAAAGTCCTAAAGATTCCACACACACAAACATTTTAAACCTAATCAATAATTTAAGCAAAGTTGTGGGATATAAAAATCAGCAAAAACCAGTTGCATTCCTATACACTAAAAATGACTAACACAAAAAAAGGAAAAAATCCCATTTGCTGCCTGATCAAAAAGGATAACATACTCAGGAATAAATTTAACTGAGGAAGTGAAAGACTTGTACATGAAAAACTATAAAACGCTGCTAAAAGAAATCAAAGAAGACATAAATAAGTGGAAACCCACCCCATTTTCATGAACTGGAAGACCTAATATTGTTCAAATGTCTATCCTACCCAAAATGATTTATAGATTCAATGCATCAACGTGGTATTTTTTGCAGAAATAGAAAAAAAAAATCCCAAAATTTAGAAGGAATCTCAAGGGATCCCGAATAGCCAAAACAGCCTTGAAAAAGAGGAACAAAGTCGGAGGCTTCAAAGCGTCTGATTTCAAAATAAGCTACAAAGTAACACTAATCAACTTGGTGGGGTATCTTTATTAGCACAAAGAGAGAAAAACAGATCAATGGAACAGAATAGAGAGCCCGGAAATACACCCCTGAGTATGTGGCCAAATGATCTTCAGCAAGGGAGCCAAGAGCACACGACAGGAAAAGGACAGTCTTTCTCAACAAATGGCAAAGGGAGAACTGAATATCCACACGCAGGAGAATGAAGTTGGACCCTGACCTCAGACGATACACAAAAATTAACTCGAAAGGGGTTAAAGACCTAAATGCATGACCTAAAACCATAAAAGCCCCAGAAGGAAACGCCAGGGGAAATCTCTGGGATATTGTATTTGTCAATGATTTCTTGGATGTGGCATGAGAAGCAAAAATAGACACTTGGAACTACATCACAATTAAAAACTTTTGTGCATCAAGGAAACAACAGAGTAAAAAGTCAATCTATGTGATGGGAGGACATGTTTGCAAATGGTGTATCTAATAAGGAGTTCATACCCGAATACATAAGGAAATCCTACAGTTCTGGAAAATGACAGGAAAAGGACTAATTTTTTTTTAATTTATTTGACAGATAGGGATAACAAGTAGGCAGAGAGACAGAGAGAGGAGGAAGCAGGCTCCCCGCTGAGAAGAGAGCTGGATGTGGGGCTCAATCCCAGGGCCCTGGGATCATGACCTGAGCCCAAGGCAGAGGCTTTAACCCACTGAGCCACCCAGGCGCCCCGAAAAGGAATAATTTAAGTGATCATTTAAATAATAATTTAGTTTAAATAATTTAAATTTAAATAAATAATTCAAATAATTAACATCGGCAAAGGGCTTGAGCAGACATTTCTCCAAAGAAGACGTACAACAGCCAACAAGCATATCACAAAGTGCTCAATATCCAGGTAGCTGGCTGGCTCAGTCAGTAAAATCTGTGACTCTTGATCTCAGGTCATGAGTTCGAGCCACATATTGGACATAGAGATTACTTAAAAAAAAAAAAAAAAGATGCTCAATGTCACTTATTGTATGAGAAATGCCAATCAAAACCACAATGAGGTATCACCTCATATCCATTAGGATGGCCACTTGGAAAAGAACAGAAAATGACAAGTTTTTGGCAGGGATGAGAAGAAATTAGAACTTTTGTACATTGTTGGTGGGTATGTAAAATGGTGTCACCATTATGGAAAACAGTATGGCGGTTCCTCAAAACATTAAAAATAGAATTACCTTATGACTCAGCAATCCCACTTCTGGGTATATACCCAAAAGAATTAAAAGCAGGATTCTGAAGAGCTATTTGTACAGCCACAGTAACTGTAGCATCATTTACAACAGCCAAGAGGGAGAAACAAGCCAAATGGCTATCAACAGTTGAATGGATAAAGAAAATGTGGGGTGTGGGGGTGTGGGGGTATGTGACACAGACTTAAGAAAGCAGGAAATCCTGGGGCACCTGGGGGGCTCAGTGGGTTAAGCCTCTGCCCTCGGCTCCGGTCATGATCCCAGAGTCCTGGGATCGAGCCCCATGTCAGGCTCTCTGCTCAGTGGGGAGCCTGCTTCCCCCTCTCTCCCTGCCTGCCTCTCTGTCTACTTGTGATCTCTCTCTCTCTGTCAAATAAATAAATAAAATCTTAAAAAAAGAAAAAAGAAAGCAGGAAATCCTGTGAAATGCCACAATATGGATGAAGCTGGAGGATAGGATGCTACTTGAAAGGACTCCATCTCAAAGGGACAAATAAATACGATTCCATTCCTAGGAAGAATGGAAAGCAGTCAGAGTCACAGAGACAGAATGCAGAAAGGTGATCGCCAAGGGCTGGGGATACGAATTACCATTTAACAGGTGTAGAGATTCGGTGTTGTGAGGTGAAAAAGTTCTTCAAATTAAAGGTCCGCAGAGGAGAGGGGGGTGGGGATGGGGGAAGTGGGGGCTGGGGACGGAGGAGGGCACTTGTCCTGATGAGCGCCGGCCTTTGTGCGGAAGCACTGAATCACTCTACAAGCGATTCTCATTGAAACTAATACAGGCCTGTAGGTTCACTGGGTTGGAATTAAAATTTAAATAAATAAATACATAATTTTTAAAAGAAACAGAAAGAAAAGGTGAAAGAGTTCCTGAGATCTGCTGCATGACATAGTGCAACAGTCCTTAACGCTACTGAACTGTGCGCTTACAAATGGCCGAGATGGTACATTTAATGTGTTTTATAACAGATGGTAATCGGAATACTAAAATAAAGTCAGCCTTGACCATCTTTGAAATCTAGACAGAAAAAAAAAAAAAAAGGTAGTCCATATCTACTGTTGCCCGTTAGAATGCAGAAGAGGTCACTTCACGCTGATTAGAAAAATGATTCAAGCAAGTATCACACAGATACAACATGAGGCTAAGAATGTCATTTTTAAGTTTCAAAAAGCCCTGCAAAATCAATTTTCTTTTTTAAAGATTATTTATTTATTTATTTGATAGAGAGACAGTGAGAGAGAGCATGAGAGGGGAGAAGGTCAGAGGGAGAAGTAGACTCCCCGGAGAGCCAGGAGCCCAATGCGAGACTTGATCCCAGGACTCTGGGATCGTGACCTGAGCTGAAGGCAGTCGTCCAACCAACTGAGCAACCCAGGTGCCCCAAAATCAATTTTCTTAAAATTCCCAAACACTAAGTACATGAAACTCTATCTGATAAACACACAAGGAAAGTTTGCTTGTTCAGTGAGAGGACGAACACTATATATTTGAAAGAGAGAATGGGATGGCCACATTTTCCTCCAAGTCACAGCCCAGCATCTGATCCAAAGCCTGCAAGCCTGCTGGTGGTCCCTGTGCGGCCCAGAGCCTGCTCACGCTCCCTGACCCGGCCCCTACTAGGCAGTTGGTATGGTAACGAGCCCTAAGAGCTTCTACGGGTGGGCTCATTACAAGCCCAGCAGGCAGTACGCTCAAGAATTTCTTTAAGGTTTTCTAGACTATATTACCATCAGGTGTTTAATTTTCTAGAACCTAATAGCTTAGACAAGTGGCCTGGCATATAAGATACAAAATTTTAATATGACAATCATGACATTATAGAAACGTTACAAGCAGACCATGCTCTATCTGACAGACAACATCCATATGTACAACTTCACCATTAAACACAATTTAAAAGTATGAGCTTATCCAGATTTTATAGATAAAAAGTTAAGGTTGGTACGGCAATCTGAATTTTGCTCTATGCCAAGTATAAAGCTGGGAAGAGCATATCCTTTTTTTTTTTTTTTTTAAAGAGCATTTTTTTTTTCTTTTTTTAAGATTTTATTTATTTATTGGAGAGAGAGAGAGAGCATGAGCAGGAGGAGCCACAGGCAGGAGACCCCCGGCTGAGGAGGGAGCCTGATGCTGGGCTAGATCTGGGAACCCTGGGATCATGACCTGAGCCAAAGGCAGGTACTGACTGAGCCATGCAGGCACACCTGCATTTTTTTTATTAGTTTTTTAAAGAGCATATTCATTTTAACACAGGTTACACTCCCATTTGTGTTTTCAAGAGACCCTTGAGCAAAAATACAAAATGGCACACTGTGGTGTTAGCCAAAGAGGTTTCAAAGGCAGTAAGATTAAGTCTAAAAGAAGCAGGAAAATACATTTACAGAGGTCCTGATATGGCAACACACCAAATACTGTACTTTTGTTGAGTTTTAACTCAGATAACTGTCACATAAACAGGCAATCTTGATTTCAAACCTGAGCTGGAACACCTTTTCGAGTTGGGTTAAGGCACTCGGTACCTACCTTTTGGTTGCGGCGGGCACAGCAGTTTCTTTCCTGGTCCCCGAGGGGGACGGTAGAGAGCCACTAGGTTTCTTTGGTAACACAGTGCCATTGTTGACAGTGGTCCTTAAAGGCAAGGTCTGCACCAGTGGTCTTGCTGTGAGACAAGCAGAAAACGCAATCAGAGCTTTCCTCCTTTGTCAAAGTAACTTTTTACAGAACTCAAGGTAGATGGGACGGCAAGGGACATCGATTTTAAAATGCTGGCAGAACTGACAAAGGTGCAAAGAGAACTCAGAGGAGACTGTCCACAAAGGGAGCTGAACAATGAGCCTGGACACAATCTCCCCCCTTACGCAGAAACGCACTCGAAATGGACCAAAGACCTGGGGGTAAAATGCAAAACTGTAAAACTTCTAGATGAAAACACAGGAGAAAATCTGTGTCCTCGGGTTTGGTGACTTTTCAGATACAGCACCAAAAGCATAGTCCCTGCAAGGAAAAAAAAAAAAAATGATGGCTTGGACTTCATTAAATTTATAAAAATGTTTGCACCGTAAAAGACATTGTTACAAGGATGAAAAGACGGAGCCAGGAACCGGGAGAAGATACTTGCAAATCACGTATCTGACAGAGGACTTGTATACAGAATATAAAAAAGAATGCTGAAAACTCTGTAGGCAGAACACAAGCCGCCCAATTAAAAAAATGGGCAAAAGATCTGAACAGACACTTCACCAAAGAAGATCTACAGATGGCAAATAAGCATATGAAAAGATGCCCGACATCTTTTGTCATTAGGGAAATGCAGATTAAAACAATAATGAGATATCTCTATACACCTATTAGGGTGGCTAAAATCCAAAAAACAAACAAAATATCGATTGCTGGCCCGGACCAGAGCACCAGGGACTCTCATTCATTGTTGGTGAGGATGCAAAATGGAAGGCACACTGGAAGACAGTTTGGTGGTTGTTAAATACAGTCTTACGGTATGAGCCCATCATCGCGTGGCATGAGGTACTCAACTGATCTGAAAACTTATGTCTCTATAAAACCTATATTTAATACTTATAGCAATTGTATTCATGATGGTCAAAAACTGGAAGCAACTGAGATGTCCTTCAGTTGGTGAGTGGCTAAACAAATCGTGGTCCATCCAGACAATGGAATATGATTCAGCAAAAAAAAAAAAAAAAAAAAAAAAAGGAAAGAAAGGAAGGAAGGAAGCAATGCGCACGGACAGGGATGAGTCTTAAGTCCACACTGCTCAGTGAAAGCAGCCAGGCTGAATGGCTCCATCTGCATGATGTCACTGAGGCAAAACTACAGAGACAAAGACCAGACCAGTGGCTGCCAGAGGTTGGCCAAGTCAAGGTGGGAAGCTGAATTAGGTAAGATGCGAGAGCATTTGAAGGTGGTAATCTGTATGAGGCTGTATGGTGGCTAGGTGACACCAAGCATCTGTCGAAACCTCCAGACTCTTACAGCACAAAGAAGGAAATTTAATGTATGCAGATGAAAATCCGTTAGGGGCTGGGGGAACCCATGATGGAGAAAAGAATGGAACTATGCCACAAGAATGTGCTCTAACCTCCTGGAAGGGGGTGGCCAGGAAGGTGCTGTGGAAACAGGGAGAGACTATAAGATGGCCAAGGAGCCCATCTGTGCACTGTGCTTGGATCAGTAACGTTGTTTCCCACCGGGCATAGTCGGTCAACATCCCTGAAACCACTGTCATGCGCCCCAGCAGTGAACAATTAAGGAATGGCAAGGAAGATGGTGGGAACCCAGCTTCTCACTGTTGCAGAAGGAGGGTATAGACAAGCAAGGGGGATGGCGCTGAATGAGCCGAGGGTAGGAAACCTCACTATGAAGCCATGTTTAGCCTGATGCAGCGACAGGTACAAATTATACCTATGTACGTAAACATGGGTCAGTAGAAACATACTTTTTTTTTTTTTTTAAGATTTATTTATCTGAGAGAGAGAGAGCGAACATGCAAGTGGGGGGAGGGACAGAATCTTCAAGCAGATTCTCCACTGAGCGTGGAGCCTGACATGGGGCTTGATCCCACAACCCATGAGGTCATGACCTGAGCTGAAACCGTGAGTCGGATGCTTAACTGACTGAGCCACCCAGGCACCCCAGGATAAACATATTCCTCAGCTCTGCCTGCTGAGAATACTGCACGCAAGGGCATCCAGCACCCAAGCCCTGGTTACTAACACAATTCCACAACAACTAAGAACCAGGACTCCTCGGGGAGATGCCCAGATCTAGGGCTGGGGCAGGGCGCTACATCATGAGCATGGAGCCACCTGGACAGCCAGAGAGTCTGGAAAGGCTTGGAAGCAATAGGAAAGCCCCAAACCCGATACAGATGGGGCCAAGTCAAAGGGCCCCAGGAATCAACTGAAAGAGCGCCCCTAGTGGCCAGAGCTGGGAGCACTTCAGTGACAAAATACAGACAGCAGCACCGGATTATAGCCCAAAGCATAAAATAAATATCCAGGATTCCAGACTGATAGAATGACTGGATAAATGATTAAATGGGTGGGAAAAGATAATTTCTCCCGTGCGGAATTCCAGATCATTTACGTAGATGGTTTATCCCCAAGGAGGTGGCGCACAGTCCTCTACTCTGTTAGGTGTGGGTGGCATGGTGACCGCCTTCCACGCAGCGCAGGGTGGCAGCAGGGCAGGGAGGCACTTCACTGTGGACAAACCTGGTGAACTGTATTTCGGCCAGCGTCATGGTGATGAGTCATGTCGACAGTATGGTCCCTGGACAGGATGGGACAGAAATACCCTTTCCCTCTACAGTCTTCTCCCTAAACCCCAGGACCTGCCAGATAAACCCAAGTCAAAAGACAATGAACTCTCTGACCAGGGCTTCTCCAAAGTGTTGGTCATCAGAAAGAAGGAAAATCTGGGAAACGGTCAGTCTAGAGGAGCCTCGGGAGAGAGGACGACCAAATGTAATCCCGGAGGGGATCCTGGAACAACAAAGGAAGGATGTTAGGGATAAACTAAGGAAATCCAGATAAAGTGTGCCTCTAATTAATAAAAAATGTGTCATTAGGGCGCCTGGGTGGCGCAGTCGGTTAAGCATGTGACTCTTGATTTTGGCTCCGGTCATGATCTCAGGGTCGTGGAATTGAGACCCAAGTCAGGCTTTGCACTCAATGGGGAGTCTGCTTGAGGATTTGCTCTCTTTCTCTCTGCCCCTCCCCACTACACGCTGTCTCTCTCTCAAATAAATAAATCAATCTTTTTTGTTTTTAAAGAGGTAAAATAAGAAATAAAGCAAGTATCATTGTGGCATACTAATGTAAAATGTTACTCGTAGGCAAAACCAGGTGCGGCTGATGGCAACTTTCCGTACGATCCTTGCAACTTTCTGTAAATCTAACGCTATTCTGAAATTAAAAAATCGATTTGAAATGCTAGTAGAATTTATTTTGTGCATCACAGGATTAAACCTGCCTTGACTGAGGTTCTTAAAAACAATGACAAAACTGCACAAAATGTTAACACACCGACACCTTTTGGTCCCTAAGGCAGGGAGTTGGGCTTCCTTCTTTTTTCAAAAGTGACAGAAAACAGCAAAAAGGACAGGCAGTGCCCCACCACCCTCTGCGCTCTCTCTTTCCTCGCCTCCTGAGCACCTGCCCACCAGGGGGCCCGGCATGCTGGGAGCCAGCCTCCCTCAGCAAGACACCGCAGCTCCCGAGCCGGGGCCCCCCATCTTCTCTCCCGTCTGCCATGCCCCCTGGACAGGACCCTTCTCCCCTGCAGGAGGACGTACGTCATCACCGTCATTGTCACTGCTCTGCCTTCTCTCTCTGCTTTGTCCACTACTTCTGTTTCCATTCTGGTTTTTGTTTTTGTTTTAATATATGGACTGGGTTAACCGGAGTTCCCTCAACGTTCCATCCACCGGAACCCCTGGATGTGACCTTATTTAGAAATAGGTCTTTGTCAAAGTAATTAGTAAAGATGAGGTCATACAGGATTAGGGTGGGCCCTGAACCCAGTGATGGTGTCCTTGTGAGGAACAGAGAAGGAACACAGAGGCCCCAGGAGAGGAGGTCAGGTGATGGCAGAGGCGGAGCTGGGAGTGAAGCACTTAGAAGCCAGGGAATGCCAAGGATGGCCAACAGCCACCGAAGCTGGACAGAGGCCTGGAACAGTCTCTCGTAGAGCCTCCAGCAGGCACCGAATGGCCGTGCCCACACCTTGCCCTCAGCCCAGGGATACTGGTCTCGGACTGCCGGCCTCAAGCAGTGTGAGAGAGTAAGTCTGCTGTTTCAGGCCCCCCAGTGTGCGGGCACTGGTCACAGCAGCCCTAGATGGTGAGAAGGATGCATACTTCAGCTGGCTGTCCCTTCCATTGCTGCTGCTCCTGCCTGTCCAGCCTGGCTCTGAAGCATGACTCCTAGACCCGAGGGAGGGTCTCCTGGGTGTTTGGTCAGCCCTGTCCAGGCTCGTCTCCCCATGGCCCTCACCTTGATGTCCCTCGCCACCATCCCCAACGGTGCCCCAGAGCCGCCCATGGTGTTACAGGTGGTCAGGACGACACAGAATGGAAGGGCAGCTGCACATGCTCGCTGTGGGGCAGAGTGGACAACTGGCAGGGTGCGGTCTTGTCCTCCTGGGACCTGCATGGGTGGGGGGCTCCTACTTCACAACCAGCCCAGAGAGGAGAGGACAAGGTCCCAACCCCTGGGTTACGGCGCTTCTTACAACCTCTGCAAGCTGCTCTCATTCTGTCCGTATGGCTTAATTTCTCCCACTGTGTGCCCAGACTCTTCCGTGCGCCCCCCCACAAACCAACAAGCACAACAATGCCACTTCCTTAGCTTTGCCTCTGCCGGGCTCACGCACTTGAGTGTGCCCAGACTCACCTGGAGGGCGTGTTACAGTACAGACCACGGGGCTCTGGCCCCAGGGTTTCCGATGCTGGGTCTGGGGTGTAGCCCGAGAGTCTGCCTTTCTAACAAGCTCATGGGTCGTGCGGCCATCGCTCTGGGGACCACACTTTGAGACCCACAGGCTAGGTCATTGTGCCCCCCTTGTCACCCCTGGCCTCCCGGATGGTCTCTCTGAGCTCCCGGCCCCCACGCCAGTTTGTACCTGGCAATTTAGCCCTTG